ATATATAAATTCTGCTCATTGCTAATATATATTTTTATTAGTGATCAGTCTTCTGCAACAGCATAGAAGGCACATCAGAATGATCAAACACTTTATGAGTATGCCACTCCGATGATATGCTTTATTATGTATATTATTCAAACACTGAATATACATGCAAATAGCTATCAATTTCTATTATTGATCGAGCAATGCAAAATGGCATCATCGTTATGGCTCAAGTTAAAGACTCGGGCAAAGAATCTTGGCCCTTTACTTCATAGCTTCCTCTATTCATTGATTGCTCCTCCTGCCTCTGGGACTAAGTTGAATATGTGGCACTGTTCATTGATGTGCTGGCTTGTGGTGTTTTCTGTTCATCCAGATGGTTGTTTTATTATAACTAATTACTATATGCGCATTCTGGCAAAATGGGAGTATCTCTTGAGAAATATGCATTTATGTGAGGCAACCTAATAGTATAATGCCTCATCAGGAGTGAGGGAGTGTTGACGAGTAGGTGTCAAGTGGGTGTCAAGTACTGAGTGTCAGGTAGGTGTCAAATAGGTGTCAAATAGGTGTCAAGTGGGTATGTTGTAGACTGCGTACAGAGTACTGTAGATTATATACAGAATACTATAGACCATATACAGAGTATTATAAACCACTATACATCACATATAGTTAAGTTGTAGTTAAGTAAGCAGAGCAGTTAGAACATTTGTAGCTTAAGCTCAATCCTAACCTCAGGTCACTTATAATTTGTAGTCAAAATTTGTTCCCACAGTTTGGTCAAAAGTTCATCAAGGAACAAGTGCCTATCAGAACCTCATCCTGCATAAGAACAATTCCTGAGGTATGAAAAAATTGTAACTGCCCCTTTCACATCTGGCACTCCATCACCTGCATTTTGGTTAAGTCAGAGACTCATGAGTAACTATACTATAATCATCTCTCCTGCCTTGTGCATATCTATAAGATGCTCATCATCTATCTTGAATGATTCACTCACTCTTTTTAGCTCCTCAGTTCCACCCTTCTGTGAGACCTTCACAGACACTCTGAACAAGTTGAATGCTAAAAAACTTTGCACATTGAAGAAGAATCATGTTTTACAGAGCAATCAGGTTTATGATCATAATGATGACTCTATATCTCTCCAGCTAAATGTGACTTGTGATGCCCTCTTAGACTTTGCATTGAAGTCAAATCTGTCATTGAGTTAATAAAATGTAGAATGAGCACAGATGAATATATACTCTGATAGCATGGACCACTAGATAATGTTCTAAAAGTGCTTCAACATCTAACTCAGTAGAGGAATTAGATACATTTTTCAAAAGATAACTGCCCGCATCTTTACTAACTGAATGGGAGTGAAATTTCACATAAATGCTAAAGAATATGAGGAATATAATCACTGTAATAATTAACTGAACATACATTACTGGAGCAGCTGTGAAGGGATTGGTTTATGAGCATTCCTGTGGACTCATCATCTGCAGTACTCACTCGTATAAATGCTTATTGGTTTTATTATCTGAGCAGCTGCTACGGACTCCATTTTATGATTCTTGAGGTATGAAGGAATCGTTCTTGGGATGGGCCTTCTGCCAAATTCTGAGGGACATGTCAAATGGCCCCTATGCGTGAGAACGACTTTTTAATACAAATTTGTATGCATGAGCTGCATCTAGTCCTGGGTTAGGTCTAGGGTTTAACTACAAACTTTGTAGTCCCTGTTGTTACTGTACTACACCTTGCATATAGTCGGTCTTTCAAAGTGATTGTAGTGAAAACCAACGTGACTTGCACAAATAGTGATCAATAGAAGTGACACAGCAGCCACAGAGGACCAATACATTATAGTCAGCAGAATTATAAAAGCACATACTAATTCTGACACATAAAAAGCAGTACCATTGAAATCTGTGAAGGAAATGGAGCATTTTTCAAACACTGAATATACATGTAAATGGCTATCAATTTCTATTATTGATAGAGCAATGCAAAATGGCATCGTCACTATGGCTCAAGTGAAAGACTCGGGCGAAGAATCTTGGTCCTTTACTTCACAGCTTCCTCTATTCATTGATTAATCACTGTCTCTGGCTTTGGCTCTGAACGTTGCAGAGATTAATTTGAGACTTTTAAGTGCCACTGTCCATTTTTGAAAATAGAAGTGCCCAAAGTTTTCATAAGATATCTGGCTACTAGATGAATATTTCAGATGTATATAGACACAGATTCTGCAAAAAAAAACTTACTCAGGAGCCAATGTCATTGAGCAAGACAGTTCCTCTAGCTTTAAGTGTCACCATCCAGTTTTGAAAATAGAAGCACCTGCCACTCCGATAAGCCATTCTGCCACATCTAAAGTTTTCATAAGGTATCTGGCTACTGGATAAGTATTCTAGATGTATATAGACACATATTCTGCAAAAAAAACTTACCCAGCAGCAAATGCCTTTGAGCAAGACAGTTCCTCCAGTCTTAAGTGTAGCAGTCTATTTTTGGAAATAGAAGTGTTCACCACTCTGATAAGCAGTTCTACTGCACCTAGGTAGCTGGCTACTGTATGAGTATTTGAGATGTATATAAACACTGTTAGCCCCCAAATTTATGTAGCCATATTGGAGGACGGGACTGACAGTGAAGGACAATACAGTGTCTTATGTCTTGTTCAATGTTGTCTATTTAATACATGGTAGCTAACATCACATCTACACAGTGTCCAATTCAGGCTGCCTTGCTCACATCGAAGTTGATCGAACATGACAGCAGGCTATAACATGATATATTATCGTTTAGGGAGGGCAAGCATACTATAGTGCTTCGAGCCAGACACAGAGATTGAGGGCAAGCATACTGGAGGGCAGGCATACTAGAGCTTCGAGCCAGATATATGAAAGGTGTGCAAAGAGGATGACATGGAGAGTGGGACTAAAGGGTGTAGAAAACATAAGCAGAAGGAGCATATTATCCAAGTTCGAATGTCAGTCTTGAAGTAGCACTCTTATGGCTCAGTCTCGAAATGCTGATTAGAGAAACAGCTCATCCACGCTTGTCATCATTGTCAGTTATTGAGGATAATCTTTAGTGCTAATAAGCATGAAAAAAGGATTAACTCCCCCCTAACTAAGCAGTGCATCTCAAACTGGAGATGATCTTTTTGGATTATCTTTGCAAAATTTTTAAGATAATTTTAAGGATAATCCGAAGGATTATCTGAGCTGACCCCAATGCAAAGAAGAGCTTCCGCGAGGGTGTATTTGCGAAGGATAACGCTGGCGTCCATGGATGGGAGATTGAGTTCAGGATGGGAGATATGCCTTCGAGGCGGGCAGGTGTTTATTAGGCGCTCGGGCGGGCCCGGTGAAGGACGACCCCTCAGATTGAATAGGAGCGTGAGGGGACGGGATTGCGAGATATAGCGTGATGGGTAGTGATTCAGCAGAGTGATTGTTAAGCAGATGCGGGCAGTATCGGGAGGGCAGGAAAAGGGTCAGGACCGGTTTAAGTATGAGGGCAGGGGAAGAGGTCGGGGGGAACCAACCATCCCGGAAGGTACGCTTGCGAAAAGACTCGTTCACATTCCCATCCCATCCAGTTAGTGCGTCTTTGGACAGTCTTGCATTTTGTGCATTTTCTGGGCAGTCTTACATTCCCGCATTTCAGCGTTCTCCTTAGGGCAGTGTGATTTTACTCCGACGTGTTTCCAGCGATTATTGCGACTATAGAGATTTTCCTAGCGACGCTTTTGGGCTACCCACCTCATACCTCTGGAATAGACTCTTCTCCTTCATCGCATCTCAGACCCCACACGGACTTGATTCCGCTCGTACTCCACCTTTCCGGCTTGCGACGGAAATTCAATCTCGTCAATGCAAGGCAAAGCTTTGTTTATACTAACATCTTTGGTACATACTTTATAGTGCAATCACATTGTTATCTCATCTTTAACAAAAAGACTGTGATTATCAATTTCAAGTTCAGAAAATGAATCTTTAACAGTATCCATAAGGTGAACAGTAGTTTAAAATATATGCAAAATTAATATATAGGTATTGTAATATAAACAATACTATAGACTGTATGAAATGTCACTATAATATTCTTTGTCTTGAGTTTTACTTAGTTATGCTCATGTAGAAAGAATTTGCCTAAGTTCCTTTAGCAAAATCTCTTATATATATCACACATGAGTATAAGCTTGTAAGGACATATGGTGTAGTAGCTAAAGTGTCTGATGTCACATAATCATATGACTATCTTTCAAGGTTAAGGGTTCAATCCTGGCTGGTGGCAAGTTTAAAAATATCTTTTAAACTCAGATTATCCTTAGAATTATCTTAAAAATTTTGCAAAGATAATCCAAAAAGATCATCTCCAGTTTGAGATGCACTGCTTAGTTAGGGGGAAGTTAATCCTTTTTTCATGCTTATTAGCACTAAAGATTATCCTCAATAACTGACATCACTGCGCTTGTAGGGGATTTTCTTGGGGTTGACAGCATATGCATCTGCTGCTTGATATGAATATGGAAATGATCCAAAGGAGATTGACTTCATGAATAACTGAGACTTTGATTCTTTTCTGCTCAGATTCCTGGTCCTCCTCATCTGGATCTGAGATAGTGGGCATTGTATAGATATCCATCAATGAGACTCAAAGGATGCCAGGAGCAGTGGATGGCACGTGAGGAAAAAATGTTCATCTCTATCAAGGAATTCATCATGCTGCTCGGAGGAAGTCAACCATGTAGGTGCAGTTATTACAAAGACCCTCAGGAAGGAGAAAGTACATGTAGACTAGATGAATGTCAGCATTGCTTTCCAACTACAAACCACAGCACATACCTTCTCCAGCACCATTTGTCTGCCACATCAGATGAGAAGCAATTTGACCTGTTCACAATGTGTCCACCCGATGAAGGGACGCATAGCGTGCTGAGATGGGAATCACATCCGCAAAGTGGTCTCACATTTGGGAAGATACTACAGAGTGCTACACAACCGACCCTACTCTGACACCAATTGGAAGCTGGTTATCGGAGGAGGAAATGCTACGAGCCCGAACACTACTTCCAACTCCTCGACTACAATCCGCAACCGTCTCAAAGTATCATCCGCCAACTCGCATCTACCGGTGATTCCACGCATGACATCGTACAGTTCGCGGGCCGCATTGCGCAATGTCTCAACCTGAAGGTGCAAGGTTCTTGATGGCGATAAAAAGCTGAGGAACATAATTCCAGGAAAATAGGGACAGTACGACCGCGCACCAATGTAAGGGAGTCCATCCAGCGGGTGGCCCAAATCAAAGTCCTCACAGATGGCGGGGTCGTCATATAGAACACGGGCAGTCAAACCACGAGGAATGACAGCAGGAAGGTGGTCCGCAATCTGAGGTATCATCCGACGACCACCTTCTATAGTGCGAGCTGTCGCAAAGTGTATTTCCACTTGGGCCAGGACAGGGATATCATGCAGAAGGGGCAGGATGATCCCCATGCTGGCCGCCTCAGACTGGGCTTGGACCATGAGGACCTGAGGGGCGTGTGAGGGTTGGACAGCGAAGGAACATATGCTCGCAGGAGCCTCACCAGCAGGACGTGCATCCGGACTGCCCATGCTTTCCACTGGATCAGATCGAAGGGCTCGGTAAAGATCTCAATGCAAAGAAGAGCTTCCGCAAGGGTGTATTTGTGAAGGATGACGCTGGTGTCGATGGATGGGAGATTGAGTTCAGGATGGGAGATATGCCTCCGAGGCAGGTAGGTGCTTATTAGGCGCTCGGGTGAGACCGGTGATGGATGACCCCTCGGATTAAGTAGGAGCGTGAGGGGACGGGATTGCGAGATATGGCATGATGAGCAGTGATTCAGCGGAGCGATTGTTAAGCAGAAGCGGGCAGTATCGGGAGGGCAGGAAAAAGGGTCAGGACCGGTTTAAGTATGAGGGCAGGAGAAGAGGTCAGGGTAGAACCCACCATCCCGGAAGGTATGCTTGCAAAAGCCTCATTCACATTCCTATCCCATCCAGTTAGTGCATTTTCGGGCAGTCTTGCGTTTGTGCATTTTCTGGGCAGTCTTGCATTTCCGCATTTCAGCATTCTCCTTAGAGCAGTGTGATTTTACTCTGATGTGTTTCCAGTAATTATTGCAACTACAGAGATTTTTCTAGCTACACTTTCAGGCTACCCACCTCATACCTCTGGAATAGACTCTTCTCCTTCATTGCATCTTAGACTCCACACAGACTTGATTCCGCTCGTACTCCACCTTTCCGACTTGCGACGGAACTACTATCACGTCACCGAGCAGTTTGCGGTGTTCATACCACCATGGCTTGCAGTGTCTTCTGTTCATCCAGATGGTTATTTTATTGTAACTAACTACTATATGTGCATTCTAGCAAAATGAGAGTATTTCTTAAGAAATATGCATTTATATGAGGCAACCTAATAGTATAATGCCTCACCAGGGGTAAGGGAGTGTTGACGACTAGGTGTCAAGTGGGTGTCAAGTACTGAGTGTCAAATAGGTGTCAAATAGGTGTCAAGTGGGTATGTTGTAGATCGCATACAGAGTATTGTAGACCGTATACAGAATACTATAGACTACATACAGAGTATTATAAACCACTATACATCACATACAGAATGTTATATGTCACATACCGACATTCCTAGTTCATATATGAAGTGTTGTAAGTGACATACAAACATTCGTAGACCGTATATAAGCAGCATACAAAAAATACTTCTAAGCGACATACAAACACCTACTACAGGCAGTATACAAAGTACCATAAACGATGTACAGAACATAGTAGACCACATACAGAGTGTCGTCAGCAACATATTAACATTTTTAAGTGGCATATGAACATTTCTAAGCGACATACAAATGTTTACAACTCATATACCAGACGAGGTTATTTCGAGTATCCATTAGAGGTTTAGATTAGAGTCACACCACGTTAGAAGTATTAGTGCACTTGTAACAGTTTCTAAGATCATGTTTTTTAGTGACTCTAATAGACACATTTGTAACATTTTTTGTAGTCATTCTTATATGCACATTTTTTGTAACTGTTTCCAGTCTCATTTTTTGTAGTGAGTCTTATAAGCAAATTTGTAACTGTTTCTAGTCTCATTTTTGTAGTAATTCTTATAAACTCATTTGTAACTGTTTCTAGTTTGATTTTTTGTGGTGATTCTTGTAGACACATTTGTAACAATTTTTAGTCTCATCTTGTACAGTAATTCTTATCAGCAAATTTGTAACAGTTTTTACTGTATTTTTTGTCATAGACACATTTGTTCTTGAAGTCAAAATAAGTGATCTCAAAACTGTTATAACAAATCAGCAGAAAAAACCTAAAAGACAAATCTTATAGTTTTCACTAGTAGGTGGATTATAATACATATTTCAAATTGAAGTTGAGTAAAAGTCATATTTCTAAAGCTGAGACAAATTGTAAAAAACTGCGAAAAAATGGAGAGACTAAGAAACTTTCTAGTTATTACCAGTAGACATTTTGAGACTCAGAAAAATGCAAATTAATCTGAAATAATTGTGAAATAGCAAATTTTATAGTTCTGACTAGTAAACATGCTATAAAATGCATTTGAAGCACTTTTACAGTGAAAGTGAGTGCTATTGAACTCAGAAAATCAATCGTAAAAATCTGCTTTCTCATTATCACTATTAGATGTATTACAATATAAATTTTGAGTCTCTTGAAGTGTTTTAACTTTCAAAAAACAATAAAAAATGACAAAATAACACATCTTCTTGTGTTTACTAGTAAATGAACTATAGGATAAATTTCAAGCAAAAGTGAGTATTACAAGCCTGAAAAAGGCTGTAAAGACTCTGAAAAATTATGAAATAATAAATCTTATAGTTTCCACCAGAAGGTACACATTAGGACACACTTTAAATAAAGCTAAAATTAAAAAAATGTTTTAAAATTCAGAAATATTATAAAAAAATTCAGCAATTTTACAGAATGTGAAAATATACAGCTATTCTCAATAAACATACTATAAAATGCTTTTAAATTGAAAGTAGGTGCTTTGTAACAATGTGCTTTTTAATACACAGATTATATAATAGACTCCGAGCAGAAGTGACAGTTTTCAGGCTTAGATAAATGATAAAAAATGAAGAAAAATTGTAAAATAAGAAACATTTGAGCTACTACTAGAAGAGATGCTACAAATATGCTTATAAAGTAAAATTGACTACTGTGCAGTTTAGAAACCTTTTAAAATGCCTAATTTTATAGCTACTACTAATAAGAAATTATTATAAGCTAATATAATTATGATTCTTAAGGTATAAAGGTATCATTATAGGAGTGACATAGCAGTAGATGCTTGCACTGGCAAAAATTTTCTCTAAATTATGAGAATAAATTTTGACTATAAAATTTCACATGTGAGACACATCTAAATTAAGATTAGGGACAAGACTTAGCTACAAATTTTGTAATGGCTGTCCTTAAGTGGCTATGAGTTAATTATAAGTAATTGAAGAGTGTCTTAGAAAGAAGATCACTAGTTTTTTATATGCAATTATTAGTAATGTGCTCAGTCCTTTCTGATCTTATTTTTTACTATACTTTTTCATATTTTTAGCATTTATTAACTTTTTATATAGTAATTATTGATGACAGTACGACACTTTCTAGTATTAATTTTGATATTGATTTTTACAAGCCATATTATAACTCTTTTAAGTGTAACTTTTTGTGTCAAGTTTTATAGGTGAAATGCTGAATTATCATCAAGCCCTTACTAGTTAATAATTAAATATTACTAGATGAGACTATTGTAGGTCTTTTACTAAAAGCTATAGAGATAATAGATTATTGTAATCTGGTTACTAGACAGTACTGGAGCAATAAGACAGTATTAAAGGTAATATATTATAACGCTCCCTATGATATAGCTCTAACACTAAAAAGTCTAAATTTTCCTGATAAGTTCAAACCTAAAGAACTAGAAACATTTGATATAAAAACTATCAAAATTACAGAATTACAACCTTTCTCATTTTTACTAGTAGACATATTGTAAGGTATACCCTAAGCAAATTTGAACAAAGACTACATTCTTTAGAACTTATAGAAAATCTGAAAAATTGAAATCAGTACAATCTCTAAGATCTTCTTAAAGTGTTTCAGAAATCATTATTGCCATGTGAAGCAATAGCCCACTTCACACAAGTCTAAGTGTTTGCTCTAATAGGCACCTATTTGACAGTTAGATACATAACTGAAATCATTTTCATTGTACAAAAGAATGTCTGAAAGTGTTACCCATATAATAGTTTACTATGTCATCAGATTTCTAGTATGAGACCTAACACTAGTTTGTAAGCGCCTTACAGTAGTCTGACATACTACCTATTATTTTCAATAGAAGTCTTATAATGTCCTATGATATGATCTAGTAATGTCTAGTAAGCTCCTACAGTATCTCACTATATAGTTTACTAACTTTTAACTAGTTGCTTAGTATTGTAATAACCTTATAATAGCCTGGTATGCCGTGTAGTATTTATTTGTAAGGTCTTATAATAGTCTGAAAGGCCACCTAGTATCAGTTTGTAGAGTCTTACAACAATCTACAATGTCATCTACTGAATCTATATCACCTAAAAACCATCAATAAGCCTCTTATAGTCTATTATATTCTCTACTGACTCCTAGCATGTCATATAATAATGTCTACTAAGCATCCTAGAACCACTACAAAAAATGACCCTAGAAACCGTTACAAATGTGCCTACAAGAATCACTACAAAAAATGTTACCAACGTGCCTATAAGAATTACTACAAACAATAACCTTAGAAACTGATACAAATATGCCTACAAGGATCACTACAAAAAATGTTATCAACGTGCCTATAAGAATCACTACAAAAAATGACACTAGAAACTGTTACAAATGTGTCTATAACAAGATATTTAAATGTATATAAGAAATTGTCATTATATTCTCTACTAACTCCTAGTATGTCATCTAATAATGTGTAGTAAGTGTCCTATAATGTCCCACTATATGTTGATAATAGTCTACAAATTCGCCTACTGACTCTTAGTATATTGTTTAGTAGCATTTAGTAAGTCAACATTAGCCTGTTATACTGGCTCCTAATATACTCTTTAGTATCAGTTTGTAATGTGCTTACAATAGTCTGAATATGTCACCTGATATTACTTTGTAAGAATATTTAGTAACTTACAATAGTGTCTAGTAATCTCTACTAAATGTTGTAGTCTGTGAGTTTATAAGATGCTTACAATAGTCCAGTACACCACCTAGTACCAGTTGAGAAGAGCCTTACAGTAGCCTACAAAGTGATATATTGACTTCTTAGACTAACAAGAGTTGTACCCGGAGCTCTGAGGTCAACACCAAGTATAAGCATCATGCAGCAAGGAATGGCAACAGTCACCATCTGAGTCTTAACATGTGGTGAGTTTAGAAATCTTGTTGATGTGCAATGTTCATCAATAAGATCCCTAAATTCAGACATGTGTTGAAAGTCAGCTCATCACATTTGGACAAGATTTTGGACTCAGCCCATGATGTCCAACTTGCATGACTTGTAG